GATTTAATCAAATATTAAATACATTCTAACAACATTTAGGATAAAGATTTAGGTGAGCAATAATGGGATAAAATAAATTTTGATTCCATTTTTCTCTTTTAAATAAATTAAAACATAATTAAATAAATCATCAAAATAAATTTTAGATTCTATTTTTCTTTTTCAAATAAATTAAAACACAATTAAATAAATCATCAAAATAAATAAGTCTAACACCATTGAAACACAAAAAGTCCATCTTTTTCACCAAATTTGAATTTGGTGATACATCTGATAAACCATTGGAGATGGTCTAAGGGGTGTGTTTCTTTATATCATGTGCGCTTCACCCATTGTGAGAAGGTTGTATTAAGAATGACAATGGATAACATACCCAGTGGGTACCTATGGAGACCCAACCTAAATACATGGGCTTTGTTTGGTATGTACTAGAGATATAGGGCTTGTTTGGTTTATATTTCAAGATACAATTTTTGAAAAAAAATTTAAAAGTTTGTTTGGTTCAAATTTTTTGAATTTTTTTTTCCAAAATCATTTTTTCTCTCTTACACATCAATCAATTACTTTTTCTTTCTCTCCTCTCTTATTCTCAATCACTTTTTCTCTTATACACATCTACTTAACTGTAACAAAATATCAAATCATCCACACTACCAAACTCCAAAATTATTTTCAAAATATACAACCAAATAAATATAAAAAAAAATCTAAACTCTCTCCATTTTTTTTTTTTTGAAAATTTATCTCAAAACACAAACCACACACACCCATAATTCTTGAGAAAAAATCTCAAAAAATTGTTTAGTTAAATTTTTTTTATTTTTTTAAAAATTACTTCTCTCTACTATATATCAATCAATCAATTTTTCTCTTTCTTTTATCTTTCACTCACATCTTACACATCAATCAATCATATTTTTTTCACACCCATTTATTCAACTACAAAAAAAAAAAAAAAATTATCATCCCAAATTCCAAAGCTATTTTCAAAATATACAACCAAACAAATTTTTAAATTTTGTAAACTCTTTCTAAAAAATTATTTTTCAAAATTGTTTTACCAATACAAACCAAACATGGCCATGGGTTTTCTTATTTTCTTTTGTTTGTTAGGTCGAGTAGGTGGTATTGTTTAAATGTCCATCGGGGATAGGTAAGGATGGTACTCTCCTATTTTTTCATATGTTTTGACTACCCTATTTACAGCTAGGGTTCTCAATCTCAATCTCGTCCTTCATCACAATCGTTGCCTTGAGGATTAGGGGTTGTTTGGCATATATTAAAAATGTATACTTTTTATTTATTTATTTATATTTTTTATCTTTATCTTTTTTGAGTCACATCACTTCTATACTTTTTTACACATCTTTTAATACAAAATTAAAAAATGTACTTATTTAACACTTTCCAAACAAGCTCTAAATCTGTCGTCAATGATCGTTTTGTTTGAATTCATAAGGGCGTACCTTGTGAGGTTGTCATTTTTATGTTTCTTCATTCATCTTCGACGATGAACACGTTGCTTGGTTGCTGGGAAAAGACAGGGAATGAAAGAAAATTACTCTGTTTAGTTTCAGTTTTCAGAATTCACTTTTCAAAAAATTATATTTTTTTTAATTTTTCGTATTCTTTTGTTTTCACTATTTTTTTTTTGATATTTTAAGCAATTTTTAAAAAATTTTAGACACAACTAATATTAATACGCTTAAAAAGTATAATACTTGTGAAAAAAACTCTAAAAAATTTACTAAATACCAAAAATATAAAAAAAAAATTCAGTACATTTTTCATTTTTTTTGTATTTATTAATTTTTAAAAATATTTTTTCACAAATATTTTACTATTTAAATACATCTAAGTAATGTGCATCTAATAAAGCAAAAAAAATTGCCTAAAATTTTAAAAATATTCACTAAAAATAAAAAAATTAATTTTCAAAAAATTAAATTTAAAAAACTCAAAACCAAACACATTGAATAAGACTTTCACTCTTCTCGATCATTGTCACCACTTTCTTTGTAAAACTATTTGACTCCTCCGTTTGGGAAGTGGGTTGGCTTTTTTGGCTTTTTTAACTATATGAGCCTGGGCTCAAAAGCTTAGTTTGGGAAGAGCTTTTGACTTTTTGGCTTTTTGATTTTTTTGTGAGAGAAGAATGTAATGATTATGGGGTTGGATGAGATGTTTTGTCTGTTGTGGCTCATGAGCCTATTCTGTTTTTTATGGCTCATTGAACCAAAAAAGCCCAATGAGCCCTTGCCAAACCAATCCTTGGTTTGTTCGTGGTGAGTTTTGAATTCTATGATAATGAAAGAATGTAATTGAGAGTTCGAAATTTTTTAATTTCTCTCTTTTCTCACCACACCGATAATTGTGCTTTTTAATTGATTTCATAAATGTGTACACAACAAATAATTATATTTACATGTTTAGTTGCAATAAAAATTGAATATATATCTTATGGTTTCGTTTTGCATTGGTTTTTGGAATTAAATTAGTCATAAAAGATAAAATAAATTAAAAAATTAATAAGATAAAATGTTATATTTTAATTTTATAGTCATTTTATTTTTTTCTCACAAATGTTAAAAAAGTCAAAAAAATATAACCCAAATAAACTTTTTAGTCGGAGCTAAAATAGCAAAAAAATTAAAAAGTCAACTAAAAAAAGCTACGTGCCAAACAGTAACTATATCTGTATGGATTTTGATTGCTACGTTGAAGGGGAAATAAGGGGAATTGGGGATGCTGCTGTGCATCCCTTGCAGCAGCATCAGTTGTGCAGTTAAATGAATCCATTTTAGGATTCATTTTGATAATTTAAATCGTTCACATTTTAGAATACATCAATTAGAATATGCCTGCAAAAAATAAAGTTAATCGGATATCGTTTACCTATTCATCCACACACGTTTATATTCATTTTAACATTTTAAATCACAATTATTATTTATTTTTGGAGATACAACTATGAGTAGATGAATGGGTAAATGATATCCGATTAATTTGAAGTTTTATAGACATATTCTCGTTTATGTATTCTAAAATGTGAACGATTCGAATTATCAAAAGGGATTCCGAAATGGGCCTAGTTAGCTACACAGGATATGATGCTGCGCGCCCCGCGCAGCAACATCTCCAACTCCTAAATAAGGCCTTTGGTTTCGATTTTTTTTTTTTTATAAAAAAAAAGATAAAGTTGAGTTGGGAAAAACCCAAACTCATTAGGAGATAGAGAGGATAAATAAAGGGGATGGGAAAATGGAAAAAAAATTATAATAAGGGAAATGAAGATGAAGAATTAATATCTGCCCTCTTTCTCCCTGTTGCCATCCTTAAGTTGTATCTCATTCTGTATTTGGTTTCTATATGCATAACATTATTAAAAAAAGTTAAGCACCTATTCAATTTTCTTACCAATAAAAAATATTTTTTAAGTAAATTACCCCCAAAACATCAATTTTTTTTTAGATTCTAAAACAAAAAATAAAAAATTGATGCTAAAGTTTGCATTTGTATGGTGTAATTTATTAAAAATTAAAATTAATAATTAAAAAGTAAAAATCAAAAGTATGTAACTATCAAATAATTAAAATTTTAAACTCATATTATTTTTAATTGATAAATTATAAGTAAAATCTACATTAATATCACAAATTATTAATATTAAAATAAATAAATAAGTAAACTATAAATTATTTAAATAAGAAAAATGATATACAAGTTTACTTTTTAAATCTACTTTCTAAATTCAGTGATGTGTCAGAAAGATGATTAGTTGATAATTAAAAAATATTTAGTTATCAATCAATAATTTTCTTAACACATCATTAAATCTAAAAAATAAATCACTCTGTTTGGTTTCAGTTTTTAGAATTCACTTTTTAGAAAAAGAGCAGCGATTGAGAGCCTGAATTCCCCTCCCCTGAATCCCCCTAATTCCAAAAACGACACCGTTTTTGTATTTTTTTTTTTTTTCATTTCAGAAGAAGAGAATCAGAAGAAGGGGAGGAGGAGGAGGAGGAGGAGGAAGAAGGACTGGAGGGGGCCCAAAAAATGAGGCTGGAGGTGGGGGGCGAGAGGAGGAGGCGAGGCAGAGGCGATGAGTAGCGACGGTGGGCGAGGTGACGAGCAGCGACGGCGGGCGACGATCCTCCTCTTCTCCTCTCTCTCTTCTCTCTTTCTCCTTTTCTCTCTCCCTGTCTCTCTGATTTGGGGCATTCAGGGGGCTCATTCGGGGAGAAAAACATTTCTCTTAGAAAAATTATACTTTTTCGTTTTCCATATTTTTTTTTATTTTCATTGAATTTTTTTAATATTTTAAGCAATTTTTTTAATTTTTAGATACACCTAATATAAATATACTTAAAAAGTATAATATTTACGAAAAAAATCTTTAAAAAATTAACTAAATACCAAAAATATATAAAAAAAAAATTCAGTATATTTTTCATATTTTTGTATATTTATTAATTTTTTAATATTTAGATACATCTAAGTGAAGCATATCTACAAAAAGTATAAAAATTACTTAAAATTTTAAAAATATTTGCAAAAAATATAAAAATACAAAAATAAAAATTAATTAAAAAAAATTAAATTCAAAAAATTAAAACTATACTTAATATAATTTTTAGGAAAATGCATGAGACCCCCAGTGGGAATACTGGGGGTCTCTCCTGATTGGTCCAAAATAATTTTTTTATTTTTTTTTTTGGTTTTCCTTCCATTGCTAGCCCCCACGTGGAGGTTGGGGTGCTGGGTGCTGGGGGTCCTTCCCTGCTGGAGGTCTCCAGCAGGGCTCTAATTTTTATATCTGAATACCAAAACTTTTTGCATGAACATGAACTCTACTTTCAAAATTTCGGCATAGAAGGGCGTGTTAAACTTAACGGGAGTGTAAAAGGGACGGCGTCGTTTCTACGCTTCATAGGGCATCTTGTTTTGTTGTAGAATCTGAGCCGTTGCTTACAACTTTTAGTGACGTGTCAGCGATCCCAGAAACGTGATTGTCATCGATCACAGTATTCCCCCAACTGGAGTTCGAAACGAAACCACAACACAAGCAGAGAACAACGACCTTCGTCTCCGCGACTCTCTCTCTCTCTCTCCGCCGTTCACGGCCACCCCTCCGCCGCCGACCACCACGATTGCCGGTAATCTTCTCTTCCTCCTCCTTTTCTTCTTCGACTCGGCAACAATACATATACATCTATACTACGTATATATATAGAGAGAGAGAGAAAGAGAGAGAGGGGTTAGCCATGGAATGCCTAAAACATCTCAATCTAACACTTTTTTTATTTTATTTTTTGTGTTCTGTATTCTATTATTTTTCTTCATTCTCAGTAATCTTCTAGAAAATAATGGACTTGATGTGAACTTTTTCTTTTTTATACTAGTTTCGATTTTTGACTGGTAGTTCTTCAACCTGAAGCAAATTCAATATTAGAGTGCACAATCAAACATTTCGTCAAGTTAATTGCTTTTGTGATTTGTCTTGTATTTACTGTACACTGGTCACGTTTGACAACTTTTAATTTTAGCTAAAAAGTAAAAACGTTACTATAAATTGTCATATTAAGGCCTCACTGAAGTGAGGTGCACCTTGTATGGGAAAAAAAATTTAATATAAGTAAATAATTTAGGATTGAACATATATAAAATAAAATGAAATGTTAAACAGTGTTTTTTGGAGATTAGGAATTAGGGCCAATTTTTCTTCTATCATTGATGTGGGGTTGAATGCCTAATGTATTGGCATTTGTAATAAGAGTAGAGATCTTCTGTAGCTACACCATATTAAATCAATGGTTAGATTTTAGACAAAATCAATTAAAGCAACAATAAAAAAAACCCTCAAGAGGCAAGCCTTGGGCTAGTTAGGTGCTAGCAAAGTCGCCTAGCCTGGAATATTACAAGGTGCAAACTTTGGGTCTGGACGGGACTTGGGCCTAGGAGCGCCTTATCGAAGTCACCTAGCCTGAGACACTACAAGACGCAAACTTTGGGTTTGGATGAGACTTAGGCCTAGGCGCATGCTTAGGTGCGCCTTTAATAACACTACACATCACTTTTTTTAATTTTCTGTACATTATTTCATAAAAACTTAAAAAGTTACTAAAATAGTTTATTCCCAAACGGAGCATCTTGTAAGGTCGAGTTTTAGAGTCTTACAGAAAAAGAGAGCTGCCGGGAGATTGAGAGTCCTCTTCTAATCCTTATTGCGTATAGTTGATTTTTTGTTCTCTCTCCGCTGTGGACATAGGCATCTTGCCGAACCAACGGATTTATTGAGTGTTTGAGTTTATTTATGGCATGAAACAAGTCATAGCATGCGTCTAGCTTATTGATACGTTCCAGCTCTGACTTGGTTTACACAATGAAGATCACAAGTGATATTTGTATCGGTACCGTCAAAGTTCATGCCACAATGATCTATATGGAAGGACAGTTTTCTTGATGCATTCCTATTGAGAAAGTTTTATTTTTTATTTTTTAAATTATATTCTCCAACTTGGGATGAGTTTGAGCCTTCGGTGCCTTTTTTGAAGACTTTTTGTTGCGTGTGTTTGGAACCACGATTTTGCACAAGATCAACCGCAAGTGTGCAACACGTGCCTATGCATTAAGGTTTATGTGCTTAGATGCATTTTGAGTTCTAATAAAATGATGAGAATTCACATGGTTTATACAATGAGGTTTAGTCTTTTTGCTTAAGCTATTAATGGTACAGAGACAGTGTACTTTATTCCACAAAAAACTACAAGAGTTTATGTACTTATTTCCAAATGTCACCGCACAAGGAGTAATGAGAAAACCACAGGAATGTAAAGTGAAATTTACCCTAAAATATGTGAATTTTTATTGTCAACTTTAATTTTAGATGTGCCAATAATACTTGTAGGTTTGGCTACAAAAGATTGGAGAATATATGTGTTTGAGGATTTGGAAGAAGCAGGTTAATCATTTTTAATGTTATGTGCATTATTAAAGCTTGAAGGATTGAAGAAGATTAATTAGAAATAGAGAAATGAGTGCAAAGGTTACATTCAAATTCATGAAGGAATGTTTGAGTCGGAAGCTTAAATCTGTTGGTGCTCTTGGAGTTGGGGCTTCCAGACATTACTGTACCGCTTCTTCATCTTCTACCGCTGAAGCTGCTCCCAAAATCCCACACTCTTCCAAGAAAGTACTCTCTCCCTCTCTGTCTCTCTTATATTTTCTACATATTCACACACACATAAATATGTTTATATGTATTATATACTTGTGATGTAATTATACAATTTGACTTACATGAACAATGGTGTAAGCCAAATTTGACACAAAAAGGTAAATTCATGATACCCAAGTGAAGATTTTGGGTCCAGTACGAACGACTTGTTCACAACGAATCTAATGCACTCCATTTTGTTGTTGGGAAAATGTGCAAGCCAAAAGGAGAACAAAATTCATTGTTTTCATTTATGGAATTTCAGATGTGTACAATGCTGAGAGAGAACTTTCTGTTATATACTCATGTCTGTCCTTTCGAGTTTATGCGGATGAAGTTGAAGATAATCCGCCTGTTGTTTTGGCTTTTTTGTTTGTCTGATAAGAAGTACAGCAAAATGGCAGTGCCTTGTTTCAAATTTTGGTCAGAAGTTTGAGCGTTTGTATTAGAGGAGTAATTAAGTTTAACATAGAGAAGTTGAAAAACAGTGGTAGTTTCTTATCGTTTAAGATTTGCATTTGAGCTGTTAACTCAGTTCCTGTCTAATGTCTTATTTATTGGTTTTAAATTCAAATCTTCCTGTTGTGTTTTTCTTTTCTCTTGCTTATGCTAATGCCCATCTAATTCTTAAGTCTCTGGTTATCTTGAGCTGTAGGGGAGATTATTGACAGGTGCCACAATAGGCCTACTCATATCTGGAGGAGCTTATGTGAGTACTGTGGATGAAGCAACTTTCTGGTACTTTCCGCAACTCTCTGCTTTTTTTCCTTCTTCCTTCCTTATTTATATTTTTTGTGTAGCTGTTGGCCTTTGTTCCATTTTAGTGTTCCATGACAAATTTCAAGTTCACAACACACAAATATACTGACAGCACCACTTGTAACTTTATGCTGTTATGTGAACAACATAATGCACTGTGTTTATTATTTATTTTTGAGCCGACTCTAATGGTTCAACTTCAAGTTAAGGCCTTGTATATGTATTTTTACATTGAACTTAGTTGAACTAATTCTCTGCACATAGTTTAGAAGTCATTGAAGTTGGACTTGAATTGAAGTTTAGGGCCTAAAAATCATGTACTAGTAAACTTGGTGAATAACATACACTGTTAAATTTTCTGCAGTGGTTGGCTGTTCTCAGCAACAAAACTTGTGAATCCATTCTTTGCTCTTCTGGATGCAGAGGTTGCTCACCAATTAGCTGTTTCAGCTGCTGCTCGTGGATGGGTTCCTAAGGAGAAAAGGCCAGATCCATCAATATTAGGACTAGAAGTTTGGGGAAGGAGGTTCACCAATCCTATAGGTCTTGCTGCTGGTTTTGATAAAAATGCCAAGGCAGTTGAGGGCTTACTTGGGTTAGGTTTTGGTTTTGTGGAAGTTGGCTCTGTAACTCCTGTTCCACAGGAGGGAAATCCAAAGCCTCGTATCTTCAGATTGCGGCAGGAAGGGTAAGAATGTATGTTGCTTCTTTTTTTCACCATTTTTCTATATAGCTTTGTCTCACACTTATTTTTAATGGGACAAATTGATGCAATTTTATGTGCTTAGTTTTAGGTTTCCCTACAGTTGTCAAGATGTTTGGACTTGCAAAAGGTCTCTTTCTGAGTTCTAAGAGGTTTTTTTTTTGTTGTTTTGTTTTGTTTGGGCAGTGCTATAATCAATAGGTGTGGTTTCAATAGTGAAGGTATTGTTGCTGTTGCAAAGTCTTTGGGTGCCCAGCATGGGAAGAGGAAGTTGGATGAAACTTCTAGCACTTCACCTCCCTCCAGTGAAAAAGTCAAACATGGAGGGAAAGCTGGTCCTGGAATACTTGGGGTGAACCTTGGAAAGAATAAGACAAGTGAAGATGCAGCTGCAGATTATGTTCAAGGGGTTCATACATTATCCCAGTATGCTGATTATTTGGTAGGTTTCATCTTCTGCTTCAAGTTTATCTCGGCTAATTTGTTCGTCTCTTTTTGTCTGTGTGTAATTGATACATCTGTTCTAGAGGGACCCTGTGGTTGTTAATATCTGATAGATTCTCCAGTAGGGGATATGCATATTGAATGCTAGAGTTATGTTTGTTTCAACTCAAATTTGGCTAATGAAACTTATAAGGCTACAAGGATGGCAATCGAAGATGTGCATATGATGATGCTCTGTTGATGCAAGGTTTATGAGTGGGGATATGTTGCTAATCTTTTCTCTCATGCATTTTGCTCTTTTTTTAGGTAATTAACATTTCATCACCTAATACCCCTGGACTGCGCCAGCTTCAGGGAAGAAAACAATTGAAGGACCTTGTTAAGAAGGTTTGGATGTCTAAGCATAACCTTAATTGTCAGTGACCCCAAAAAGGGAATAGAGAATTAGTCCTAACTTGTGCTATTTATTAGGTTCAAGCTGCTCGTGATGAAATGCAATGGGGTGAGGAAGGCCCACCTCCATTGCTTGTGAAAATTGCTCCGGATCTGTCTAAACAGGACCTTGAAGATATTGCAGCGGTATGCAAATGCTGTGTCTTTAATATTTCCATTGCGACTTCCATGTCTGGTGTTCTTATGATTCCTTCATTGGGTTGTAGGTTGCTCTCGCTCTCCGTGTGGATGGATTGGTAATTTTTTCCTATTACAAACTTGTTTAGCTTAGAATTTTAGCTTTATTTAGTGTTTAGTGCTGTACCTTATTGTTTTATGTCATTGCTTTACTCCACCTGAATACATAAATCTATGCATAGGCTGCTTTGAGGCAGATCCCGGCATCTATAATTGTGTTAAAATGTTTAATACATAAGCATTATCGGACCGTGTAAAAAAATAGATGAAATGGGCTCTGGATATATCTTGGAACAACCTGTCCCATGGGGGTGTAAATGAGCTGAGCTGAACCAAGTTTGGATTGTTCAAGCTTGGCTCAGTGTCACTGGGCCACTGGCCTAGTGGCTAGTGCTCAAGCTCAACTGAACCTCTAGTTAGGAAAAGATATCTGTTTGAGTTTGCATTGCCACAGCAATGAACAGCTTAAGCCAGACTCAGCTCTGCTCAGTTTGTTTAGGGATTTAAAACTTTGTTGTTGAGTTTTTGGTATATAACACTTTTTTTTTCCCAATGTTATATAGGGCAAACTTTTCAGAAGGAACGTTAACAGCTCCTGTAAAATATTATAATGTGAAATGGTGATGTAATTTCACCTGATATTGCATAAATATGTTACCACAACTATGCAAATAGATTATAATCTTCGATGTTGAGAACATAAGTGCAACTTACTGGTGTACATGTACTTGCATACCTGTACTGGTAAAAACTAAAAACTATTTTACTTCATTAAAAGTGGCAGCCTTTTGGCCTTTTAAGGGGGATTTGATCCAAGTCCCCTCATAATAAAACTTTAATGCATTAAGGATATGCACAAAAGTTTTCCTTGAAAAGTTCAACACATACCACTATTACAAAAATTTACTTAGTAAGTAATTTAATATTTTAAACTTTAAAATAATATAACTTTTGATCTAGATGTCTGTTTTTAATAAAATTATTATTTTTAGAATCCTCTCATTAAGATCTATCAAACAAGATCTATGTCGACTATGAAATTCTTGAAAAATAAAAAACAAATAAAATACCTTTGAATTGACGTAAACAATAATGTTACTCTGTTTGATAGTAACATGTTACTCTATCTCACAATAACATGTTACTCTGATTCACAGTAACATATTACTTACAAAAACATAGTACGTATTAGATGAACTAACAAAAAATACACACACACAACATTTTAAAACTTGTATAAAATAAAATAAAAGTGTTCATTGTCAAAAGAGTTCTGTGAGATATATATATATATATATATATATGCATGGGCAATATTATCCAAGAAAAAAAAGAGAAATTTTACTTTGTCCTTACTCAATTATGTGCCTCCTCCTTAGAGGGTTTATGAAACAGAATAAATTGGGTTATTCTTTTCACTAAACAAGGGTCCCAATGGAGGGGTTTTGGTTAAATTTCCCACCTTTTAATAGCACAATTTCGTTTATGTTTAGTCAAATGCCTTTAATCTTGTCTGAATTAACTAGCACGTAAGCTTGCAACCCTTGCTGAGCCTATTAAGCTGCTCAAACTCTGGTTATTTCTTTATTGTGATGGAAAAGGCTCAAACACATTTTGTTTTCTTAGTGAATAAGCTCAAGTAAGCTGTTAAACAAGCCATACCCAAGCTACTTTACAAGTGGGCTTGGTTCCTGTAACAGCCCTACCCATAACTAATTGTTTGTTATCCCACTTCTATCTTGCACTAATTGTTTGTTAGCATTACCAGATGCCAAATGTTAACTTTTCATTTTAATCTGTTTATCTTGTTGAAATGAAAGAAGCGCCTTTTGTATCTTTCCCAGCACTTTTGTATTGAATGCTGATAAACTAAAGGAAACCTCTAAATTGCCATCATGCATTCAGAAACTGGATCGCAAAACCATTTTTTTCTCTGTTTTGTTTTCTTTCTTTCCTTTTTTAATGGCTGCTGGATGCGAAAGGCTTTGGTTGTAATTCTGACTGTTAGTAAAGCTTTCAATCAGACCATCTTAAACTATCGGTGTCAATAGCCAAAATAAAACAATTTCTTTGAAAACTTATCCTGATATCGAATCTTATCTGTTGGCTGTATTGCCTATGGATGAAACAAGAAGATGCTTAAGGCAGATAAAGGTGCATCAAACATAAATGCAACAGTTTTCTTAATCAAGGTTGTGTAATCAAAGTTGTAGCTGAAGCCAATACAAAAGCATCCTTACTAAGGAATGCCAAGGCAAACCATTCTGGTTCCTCTTTTGTTCTTGATTATGTCAGAAGCATAATTCTGGAGCTAAATTTTGTTTCATTGACTGTCCTTTCATCTCTGAAATGCAATGAAGTGAGGAAATGGAAGGGGGAAAGAACAATAAAATCTTCTGAATGGCTAATATGCTGAGAAAGGTCACCTTTTATTTCTTCCAAAAACCATGATTTTGCAAGTGTGGTGATGACGTTGAATGTTCCTTTGTAGCTTACTAATGATTTTATGTAATATATTAGATTTTGGTGAATTTTAGTTTTCATTTAATTTGGCATGGTAGTGAATTTTAGATTTAATTTAATTTGATATGTTCTTTCAGATTATATCAAATACAACCATTTCAAGACCAGATCCTGTGAGTAAAAACCCTATTGCCGAAGAAGCTGGCGGATTAAGTGGGAAGCCTCTCTTCCCATTGTCCACCAATATCCTGAAGGACATGTATGTTCTGACGAAGGTCTGTTGGTTATTCTAGTACTTTGGTAGAACTTTTATTCTTTAAATTAGCTATGAGTCATATCATGGATATGGATTGTTGACCTGATGAATGGTAGCTAGACTAGCACGTCATTGCACTTGAAAGTTAAACCAAAAAGTACTTAATATTCACAACTTCGCAATTATTTACATGGACTTATTTTCAACTCTTTGAATTGGTGCTGTTGACTTTTACGACATCTATGCCAGTTGTTATTAGATCTTACTTTAGGCCTGTAATGTTGTTTCCATTGATGCTTAAAGTCTGCTTAAAGTCAACCACTGGTGAGTTAGGATCTCTCTCTTCTTCACTGGATAGTTCGATAATGGTGCATACCAATGTAAATATTCTGTTCTTGCATCTACAAAACGGAGTGGTAATTTTTTGTGATATTTATGTATACATTTAATAATTATTTGGTTGGTTAATATTAATTACTTGAGCAAAGGGCTAAGGGTTGTTTTGTATTAGAAAAGGCCATCCCAAGAACCATCATCCCCTTTTATGTTAGATCAATTCAGTGTTCCAAGGACCCTCTGGTCAAGGCTTTCTACTGAACTTTTGGTCTTAGAAGGATTAATATGTGCCATGTGCATCTAGAAGGAAGGACACCCTGGCCATTTCTTCCAATCATTTTTCTTTTACAAGGCTAATACATGAATGGCTGCAGGACAAGTGCGAAAGCCTTGCTTTCCTGCCTTCCCTCTTAGAAGGGTAAAAGAATCCTGATCCCTGATCACATGGGAAGGAAACTCATCTTGTCCTCCCCTGAAAACTGTGAGGGTATCTATTTTATGTTTCGTAATTGATGCTTTTGCAAGCCTATCTTGTCCAACCCTGGCTCACCTTGTTTATTCCATTTACACACCCAAAAAAAAAAAAAAAATGAGATCACACCTTGAAATAGTTTTGCAAGCAGGAGAACAAGAGAAGATTATAACAAGTAAAACCCTAAACCACTTAAGATGAAGTCCCTGATTTTCTGACAAAATTATAAATGAACAGAAAAGCCAGAAAAAATCATAAATGATGAAAAATAAAGCATTATTTTTATTTTATGACAGGCAAAGCATTATTCTTATTCTTATTCTTATTCTTTAGTATATCATAACTTTCAAATTCAAAGTTCAATTTTACAAACCAATAACTGAGTAGATCCAATTTAAAGAAGTGAAACTACTAAGGTAGACTTCAAAGAAAATGCAGATTTACTGTTGTTATGCTCTTCATTGTGTTTTGTATGGCTGTTTGGTACGTTACTATGGACTGGTTTCCTTTGCATGTTCAATTTTTGATACATCGTATTTTGGTCCATTTGAAACTTCATTTTTTCGTTTCATGCAATTTGGGGCTCTCAGTCTCTCTCTCTCTCTCTCTCTCCTCCTTTTGTTGTGATCAGGGAAAGATTCCTTTGATTGGCTGTGGAGGTGTCAGCAGGTAAACCTTAGTTGTCATTGTCATCATTGTTATAAATTATTTGAATCCTTTTGAGTCTTGACTGAATAAGCATTTGGTTCAGTGGTGAGGATGCATACAAGAAGATACGAGCTGGAGCAAGTCTTGTTCAGCTCTATACAGCATTTGCGTATGGGGGACCTGCCCTTATACCTGAAATAAAGGTACTGTCTGATGTATGTCTGAATTTAATGAGCTTTACACATGGATGGAAGCTTTATGCATATGTTGTGTGCATGTGCATGCCTGTGTGCAGGAGCATGGATGGAATTGTAAGACCTCAGGCTAAAAAGCATGAAAATGTGGGTTTTTAATTGTGGCCTTTACACATAACACATTGAAGCACACATATAAAGTTGTGCGTGCATGCCTAAAATCTAAGGGGTTGCTTGGGGTATCCTAAATAAGTGCACTTTTTGTCTTTTTGGACTAAAAAATCGAGGAAGAAAATATGAATGTTTGGGTTAACTTTTTGACTTTTTATGAAAAAATGTGTAATAAAAAATTGTAAAAATTGATTTGTAGGGAATGTAGGGGAAAATTAGGATTGGGAGTTGTGCAGCCGTAATTGTTGACTTTTGGTGAATAGTGTTAACTTTTTAACTTTTTGAGTAACTTTTTGACTTTTTGACTTTTTTATAATATGCCAAACTTGGCCTAAATTTTTGTGAATGCTTGTCTTGAATATGGGCTCAGTGTGAAAATTTTCAAAAATTAAAATAGTCACAAAGAAACAGGCCCTTCTCATTGAATCATAAAATTCTGATGAAGCAGTAGCTGTTGCTTTGGTTTGGTTTACCATCACTCACTTGAAGTTTGAGTGGTGATTCGTGTCATTGCGTTGGTCTTTTGAATGTTTTAGCTCTTTAGATATGAGCAAATGCTATCCATGCTGTCTGTGTTTGTCAGTTTTCATCATGCTTCTCCAGGTGGGGAATATAGTAGCAAGGTCACTGGTGTTTTCATTTTCTCGTTCATTATTTCCTATTGGTGTTTTGTCATTACATTATTAATTAGGCAAACCAATGTTAGTGAGGTCTTACAAGATCCGGCCATGATTTAAAACCATACATCGTCTTAGCTCCACTCTGAAATTTATTTGATTTGTCTGCTCATTGGATGAGGGAATTGTTGGGTAGAAATTTTTATTTATTCCTTCGGTTGTAATACAACTATTTTGTGCTAGAATCCCCTTTATATCATCATGATAAGATTTTGCTTATCGTACCCAGAGAGTATTTTAAGCATGCCTGTGCAAGTCCTGTAGGTGTGCATGTATTGATGATATTCCTTTTTGCTAACTGTCGGCCTGTTTTCCCTTTCTGGATTTCTGATAAAAGTTGTATAATTTGAAGAGTCAGCATTCAAATTTGTAATTTTCCGTAATTACCGTATTCATATTGAATGTAGTGTCGCATGGAGAATTACTTCCACATGGAGGGAAGGTATCAAAACCACTTGATTGAATATGCTTCAAATTATGTATCTTGAACAAGTGGATATTTGTAACATTGGTCAACAACATAGAAACAATGGTCAATAGAGTGTAAGTTACAGTTCTTATTGCATGCACATAAACTCAAATCTGCCGTACTGATTTCAAATGTTACTCTTCAGGTTAGTTTGATCATCATGATGGCTTTAAAAAATTACTGCAACTCAAGTTTGGGTTTGCATGAAATTTGAAATATTTCTGTACTTAAATAGACATGCATATGAAATTGCACTTTGTGCATTGAGATATTATGCACATTATTCCATTTGGTAGATGGATCTCTCTCTCTCTCTCTCTCTCTCTCTAAATGCAGGAAGATTGTATTATGGTTTTTTATGGCTTTCCTTTTGTAGGCTGAGCTGGCCAGATGCTTAGAAAGGGATGGTTTCAAGTCTGTCTATGAGGCAGTTGGAGCAGATTGCCGGTAATTTTGATCTATTCACATTGCTTTCCATGTGGGATCGAGCGGTGACCATGTTTTATTATCCCTAAAAACCACAACATGGAAGAAGAATTTTTATGTATCTATGTTATTTGTTGAGTAAAACTCTCTCTTCATGGTTCATCTTTTATTTAATTTTTCCCTTAATTTTTGTTGGGAAGGGATGTTTTTAATGTGCGACATCGGGAGCAAATTTTGAAGTTATTCATCTTGGGAGAAAATTTTGTAGTTGTTTATTTTGGTTGGCATTTTCTTTTTTGCTAATATTTAATGTGACATAAGAGATTGAACATTTGTAGTAGCTATGTTTGGATCTCAAATTTATTGGTATAAATGAAATGATGGGAAAATTAACTATTGGTATCCATTCATTTTTCCTTGGGTTGCCAAACAAAAATTAGATACCTTAAGTAGTATCTTGTTCTTTGAGAAAGGATATTTGTCACTGCATTTATATCACAATTTTATTTTACTTTATGCCTATTAACACAACAAATTTTAAGTGTATATATAGAATTTAGGAAAAATTATCCATAAATCCTATCCTGGAAAAAGTTAAATCATTTAGTCCTTTTAAGTTTTTTTGTATACCATTTAGTCTTAATGTATTGCCAGATTTTTGAGGGTGTGGTTTGATTACATTTATTTTTACATCAATACCCTTTTGAGGGTGTGATTTCTCTCTCTCTCTCTCTCTGTAACTAGATAGATTCATTGATTCGAAGGAGTTGCAGAGAGTTGTGTATGAGTCTAGTGCTTTGATTTCATTATATCAACATCGAATATGAAACTGAGATCTGGCGGTGGTGGTGGATCTGGATCTCGCGGTTGGAGGAGCGGATGAGGGTGCGATTGGAGCAACGGAGAAGGGCGGAGGAGTAGCGGCCGAGGAGCGACGCAGAGAGAGAGAGAGAGAGAGAGAGAGAGAGAGAAAGGCGGAGAGAGCAGTTTGGCGAGGCCTCGGTGGCCGCGGCGGCAGGCGCGATTGTGGAAGAGGCCGCTGTCGTGTGGCCTCGCTGTGATGAGATGCTGAAATAAGGCGGACTTAACACCTTTGCCATCATGGATCTGATTTGAGGGAAATGATGTTCGAATGTTTGATGATGTTGGTTGATGTTCACAATTTTGTTGTTGATGTTTGTTGATGTTTTGTTGATGATGTTTGTTGATATTGATGATGTTCACAATTTTTTTGATGATGTTTGTTGATGTTTGATGATGTTTTGTTAATGTTTGATGTTGTTGATTTGTTTGATGATGTTTTGTTGATATTTGATGTTTGTTGATGTTTGTTGATGTTTTAATGTTTGATGTTGTTGATGTTTTTGATTATGTTTTGTTGATGTTTTTGATTATGTTTTGTTGATGTTTGTTTGGAGGGAAAACAAAAATCTACAGAGTTTTGGGCATTACAGTCAATATCACGTTGGGGTTTTCCTCAGTTACCCTTACTAGAAAGCGCAAAACATAATGTAACACTGGGTATTTTGTCATTAACATTAGCTTGGGATTAATTGGATCATAAGATAAAATATAGGACCAAATGGGTTATAAGATAAAGATTTGGGATTTATTGGTGCATCATCCAATTACTCATAGATCCCATTTAGAGAAAAGTTATTCCATTTAGTCCTAGAAGTTTTTTTTGAAACCAGTTAGTCCTTTTTTTTTTGGGTATGTTATTTCCTTGATTTAGGGGCTTGAAAGTTTACTTGTTTGCTCTTGTGTGTGATTTTGTTAGGATTTTTTTTTCCTAATGTTAGGTGTGCATCGGTAAGGTAGGTTTTTGCATTTTTTTTTTTTTTTTGTTGTACTGTTTGGGCAGACAGATTCAATTTGGACAGATAAGCAAAAAATACTAAGACAGATAATCAAAAAATAATAATAAATAATACTAGGATAGATAAATTCAATTTGTACAACTAGGGAAAAATAATAGGACAAATAGATTCAATTTGAATATATAAGAAAAGATTAGGACATACATTAAAAGAATTTGAACGGATAGATTAAAAATATTAAAATAATTTGGATAGATAGATTAAAAATATTAAAACAATTATGACAAATAGATTAAAAGTATATTAAAAATTGAAGGTTAAAATATAATTTTTACAGATACATGTAAAAATAATTTGGATAAATAAGTTAAAAAATTGAATAAATATGTTAAAAAATTGAAGAGATAGATAAAATTATTTTAGGTAGATGGTATTTATGGAAAATGTTTTAAACCCTTAGTGCATGAATTTTTCATCAACAAATGTCTTATGTCCCCAATAGAATCACCATTGTCCTTAATGACTTATACGGGTGAGAATATGAATTTATAAAAGATTTTTCCTAAATACTACTTTTAATAATATATTTGCAAACCCAAGGGTGGGTGGCATTGTGGTTAAGTCTTGGGGTTTAAGCCCCAAGGTCACAAGTTCAATTCCTTCTCCCTTGGGCCAATCTTCTGGGCGAATCACAGTTGGTTAGGAAGTTGGACCTCAAGTTGTTTAATCAGCATCACAGTTGGTTAGGAGGTTGGACCTGAAGTTGTTTAATCAGCACTTAGTGTGGGTTCAATGCTCCCTCGTTGTGCGAGTCCAGACTTAAGCGGAGCTTGTCTTGGGAGGTCGGGGCAAGTTCTCAGGTTATAGTCTCCTTGTTTGGAACGTCTAACAGGACACCCTGGTGATCTCTGCAAGGGGTGCTGCCTTAGACCTGTGGGAGGGTAGGGAGGATTTTCTTGTAACAAAAAAATAAATAAATAAATAAAAAATAATATATTTGCAAGTGTAGTTGTACTTTTTCTTTTGTTTTTCGGGTATCATATATATATAACTGTTTGTTTTCAGTTTTTAGAATTCACTTTTTAGAAAATTTTACTTTCTTATTTTTCATATTTTTTGTTTTATTGAATTTTTATAATATTTTAAGCAATTTTTTAAATTTTTAGACACACCTAACATAAATACATTTAAAAAGTATAATTTTTGTGAAAAAAAATATTTAAAAAATTCACTAAAAAAAAAATACAAAAAAAAATTACGAAAATTCAATATATTTTTCATATTTTTGTGTATTTATTAATTTTTAAAGATATTTTTTCACAAATATTTTACTTTTTATATACATCTAAGTAAGGTGCATTTAAAAAAGTAAAAAAAAAAAAAAAATTGTTTAAAATTTTAAAAATATTCAATAAAAATAAAAAAATATGAAAAATAAAAAACTCAATTTAAAAAAAATTAAATTCAGAAAATCGAAATCAAACAAACTAAATATCTTGTTAATGTTGTACAAATCGTGTAATTTAAATAAAATAAACAAATAGATTCATATTTAATTAAATTGATTTACAGAATAATAAATCATAAATCTAACTCATGCTAGAGATTACATTTTGATGAATACAAATATTTAACAAAATGTAAGGAAAAGAAAGCAAACTGAAACTTAAGTGATACCATAGTCTCTTTAAAACAGATTTGCCGCCTCACCATGGGTATTGGAGGTATGTCGGCGTCTGTCTCCCAGAATATAGCGGTGTAGAACCCACTAACGCAGAAGCACCTTCTGTTAGCTTCGGTGAACTGATAACGGTAGCACTTTCTCATACAAGAAGAATATATTATGGAGTAGACTGACTATAATATGAGAGCAAAAATTTATGTGTTGAAACCAAGAAAGATGGCCTTCGTTTATACACAATGGAGGAGAGAGGATGAGCCTCCTAGCCATGAAGGCTGGCAACAAATGCAGCCAGCTGATGGGAAATAAGTGTGTGAGTTATACACTTTATATACACGTGTATTTATTTGCAGCCACCAAACAAACCTGGCCCAAAAAGATTAGGTTAATGGGCCACCAATCCGGTCCACTCCAAACCCAAGTCCCAAGACCCACGGATCCGGTCCGGGCAGGCGACGCTAGGCAATTTTTGCATAACCAACTTGGATTATACTTTTGACGCAAGCCCATCCTTTTAGACGACGTAAACCAATTTTTGCATAATCAACTTACACACATCTCAATATCTCATTCATGAGGCTAACTTTATGAGACAATTTCTTATTCAATTCTTAATGATTTTTTGTCATTCTTTTTATGGTGTAAAGATCTTGTTACAAAAAATCTAAATCCATTTGATCACACATCAATCGGTGATTGAGACCTACCTTAATTTCATATTAAAATCACCATAAAATTATTTCTAACAGTTAAAACTCAAAAGGATGGTCAAGAAATGACTGTCAAAATTGTATCAAATTTGATATCTGACTAGAGTTTCTCTCTCTCTCTCTCTCTACAACTTACAAACAATATTTTGATTTTACTTTTTGCGAAGAAAATAGAAGAAATGGTAGGTGCACCATTGGAGCAGTAGTGTTAAAATTTTACAACTCCACATCCGAAGCTGAAACATTCAACCTTCTACTACAAAATTCCATTGGGTTAATTATACAAGAACCCACGCAACTATAATTGAATATTAATTTATTTTTCTATTTCAATACAATATAAATGCCCTCTTTGAAAGAGTGAAGATGATGTAATTTTATAGTTGAGAAGTTTCAAATATGATTTTAAAGTTGAAAAGGACTAAAGAGATATTAATAATAATTAAGAGATTGTATGTATAAAGGAAAAAACTACTATCAACTCCACCTTAAGTATTTTGAATTTATCCTGAATGAGTATTGTGTAATTGAAATTAAATTTATATAGTATGGGGTCTATATATAGAGTAAATGTGAACCACAAGATGATAATTTTGAATAATTTTTAGATAGTCAAGTCTAAATTTATAATATTACTGATTGAAAGAGGATATTTCTATAATTAATATTATACCATTTAGATCATTATATGTTATTCTACAACCGATTAGAGTGCTGTTTCTCTATACATATAAGGACATCCAGTCAATAATTTTATTCACTCACTTAGTAAGTGAACAAAATTAAACTCGCGACACGCTTCATGGAATTGAGGTTGATGAGATATCGGTAGCTGGGACTTTTTGAAAACCACCAGGAAGTATCTTTAAAACTGCAGGTTGCTCTGCAAATAACATATTATAATAATATTACAGTCATTTCAAAAATAAATAAATAAAACTACAATTTTAAGAAAAGCTTACTTAGAAGAGCAGTTATCTGATCAGCTGTGAGCTTGGCTGCAAAACCATTCATGGTTCTTGTGTAATCATAAATTATGGCTTTCTTGGCTGCCATTTCACTGCACAACACCATCACCACCCCAATATTTCACAAAGGGAGATTTAGTCAAAATCTCCTCGTAATAAAATTTTAGTGCATAAAGAATAAGTACAAAAAAATTTTCTTGAAAAGTTTAACAAATATCATTATTATCAAAATATTAAATTTTAAAATAATAAAACTTTTGATGTAGATGTTAGTTTTTAATAAAATTAATATTTTTATAATTCTCTCATCAAGATCTATCAAATAAGATCTATGTTAACTATGAAATTCTTTTATAAAAGGAAAATTATTACCGTTAAAATTAATGTAAACAGTAACAGTAACATGTTATTCTGTTTGACAGTAACATATTACTTTGTCTCATAATAATATATTACTCTGTTTAACAATTACTAACATGTTACTCTGTCTCACAGTAATATATTACTCTGACAATATTGTTCAAGAAAAAAAAAAAATATTTTACTTTATCCTTACTCAATTATGTGTTTTCTCTTTAAAAAATTTTTAAAAAATAAATAAATTAACCTGTTCTTTTTATTACATAAAAGTTCAATGGAGGAGTTTTAACTAAATTTTCCATTCACGAAACAAGTCAATCTCTATGTTTCGTGTCAATCTCTTTGATTTATTTGTTTTTGTGTTAGTTTCACAACTGATAAATCTGGAGTAGAGTCAAATAGATGTGAATTTACGATTCTGACCTTCCCATTACTGAAGCAAGCGTTTGGATGTGGCTGGCTGCAGAGTTCTTAGATATGGCCATGTAAACTATTTGAATAGAGGCTTCATCCTGACCCTTAGTCATGAGACGAGAAAAACAAACATGAAAAAGAAAAGAGTCATTAGAAAATATGATCATTTAATCATATATATTTGTAGTATAGTATTTTTATTTATTTAGAATGTTATCTAAAAAAATAATATGTTGTCCAGATTCACACTTATAACGAATCTGAACAACACATTATTTTGTTAGATAAAATTATGAGTACTTAAAATTACTATTGCTTAATTAATTAAAATAAAGAGTTCATTTATATACGATATTGGAACACTAGATACCATGTCACTCAAGTAAGGTTATTGATACAGTGAAAACTAGACTCTTAAACTTTGTTTAGATTATAGATTTGAATAAGGATTTGGAGAGAGAAAAAAAAATGAAAAATGTGAGTAAAATGTTAATGAAATTTAGTTACATTTCACTTATATTTTCTTTATCATTTTTTATATTTCTATTTAAATTCATGATTCAAAGACAATCTCAAAATTTAAAACGCTCAATACTTAGATTTAAAACTAGAGATTACTTTCTCTATCTTCTTGCATCTTTGACACAATTAATAAATCACTTTATGGACCATCCCAATAACTTGCTATTACCAACTGCTATAGACAATAAAAAAATCAAATTGTAGGTTAACAGAACCTACCATGGAGCTTGCCACCAAAAATGACAAAATCACAAGGAGGATGACTGAGTTTTGACAAAGAGAAGCCATGTATAAGAGGGAGAGAGAGAGAGAGAGAGAGTGAATGATGCCAATGAGAACAATATTTGCATTGTAAAGTTGATATATAGAGAACTTTGGCAATGTAATAATAAGGTGGGTATAGCCAAATTCCCTTTCATTTCAATGGAGAGAAATATCTTAGTTAAAGGGACCCACTAAGTGAATGACACGTGGCTATCTTTTAAATAATTCAAAGGGTAATTGGATCACTGTAGAAGATCTTATAAAAAAAAAAACTCACATATATAATACCGGTCAAATTACGTATATTAGTCCAATCTAAATATATTATATGTTGTGAGCGTTAAACATGAAATTACTTTTTAAAAAAATAAAAATAAAATGTTTAATAAAAAATAATTATAAATATAAGAAAGGTAAAACTTTAATCACTGAAGCATCCGTATAGATTAACTTTGTGGTTGAGATTGTGATAGCAATCATGCTTAACAAGCACTCTTTGTAATTGTGGTTTTCTTGGTCATCCACTAATTTTGGTGCTATAAATGCTAAAAGCATTAGGTGACTTGTTTGTGGGTGATGATAATGAAGTGATATATATGCCGTTTTGGGTTGGGTTGGAAGGTGTGGTGTTTTTGATTAACAAAAAATAATAAATAGAATTAAGTAGATAATTTTTATTTTTATTAATTCAATAATATTGTAAATTATATGACAAATTAAGATTGCTTATTGAAAAGTGATACAATCACATGGTATTACTGATGAATTTGAATTCTATAAAGTGATTTTTGTGAAAATGATCTAAAAATAATTCTTGTATGGATGAGATTTAATTTTACAAAAAAAATGAGATTCTATAATTAATTCTGTGTAGTACTTAAAATTTATTATTTTTCTTAAATTAAAAAGTGTTCTTTATTTTTTATAGCATAAATTTGCCTCTTAAAAAACTTGTCATTTCAAATAAAAAATAAAAAATAAAAATCACCCCATATGTAATTTAGTGCTGCACATCATGTGAATTTTGAAAATAAGTAATGTTACAATCACACTTATGTACAAATCGAAATATATATTCGTAGAGTGAGTGAGTATGTGAGTCCTACGTACAAGCAATTACTGCATGAGGTAGTTCAAGTGGGCTGCGGAATTGTTTTGGTTCCTTATTTGTGTATAGGCGTGTTATTGTCTAGTTAGGCCTAGCCCACCAATATGTTTACGTTAGGACTGCTAGTTGGGCCGAGTCAAGCTAGACTGGAGATGGAAGGGATGATCGAAATAATTAATCAATTGGAATCTCTCACTATGGCCTAATTATCCTATCCTCCAGGTATTCAAGTTGGTTGTGTGTCCAATTAATAATAAAGGGTTAAATGAATATATAATCCTAATAATGGAGAGATAGTGGACAAATTATAATATTTCATAGGTCGGGCATATGAACACTTGGTCTTCTTAACCTTCTAGATAATTTCTACGGGATCCAAAAATGACTCAATTTTTAGGTTATTTAGACTGTCATCTATAATTCACTAGAAATATATATATATATATATATTTAAAAATTATTGAAAGCCTCTTCTGTTTTGATGTTTAGTCTCCAGTTCTTAGGCCGCTGCTGCTTTATCCAATATAGAAAATTTTTATAATACATACCTCAAAAAAGAGGTGTAGCTCCAATTATTGTGATATTTGATTATGATCCATGTAGTGTTGGTTATGATTTGATTTGATCCTAACCCTCTATGTATGTGTGGGGCTCACTCATGTATGTGTGAGTCCACATCATGAGTGGTCCACATTTGTGGAGGTCTTATGAGAGTGGGGTCTCAATCATTAAATATATATATATATATATATATATTTAAAAATTATTGAAAGCCTCTTCTGTTTTGATGTTTAGTCTCAAGTTCTTAGACCACTGCTGCTTTATCCAATATAGAAAATTTTTATGATACATACCTCAAAAAAGAGGTGTAGCTCCAATTATTGTGATATTTGATTATGATCCATGTGGTGTTGGTTATGATTTGATTTGATCCTAACCCTCTATGTATGTGTGGGTCTACATCATGAGTGGTCCACATTTGTGGAGGTCTTATGAGAGTGGGGGTTTCAATCATTGCTCTAATTATAAGGGAAATGTTTGGGACCCCCTTTAGGGATGATCCCCACACCCTTAAAGTGATCCTAACCCTCCATGTATGTGTGGATCCACATCATGAGTGGTCTAGATTTGTGGAAGTCTTATGGGGGTCTTGTGGGAGTGGGGTTTCAATCATTGCTCTAATTATAAGGGAAATGTTTAGGACCCCCTTTGGGGATGACCCTCACACCTCCAAAGTGATCCTAGCCTTCCATGTATGTGTGGGGCCCACTCATGAATTTGTGAGTCCACATCATGAGTAGTCCAGATTTGTGGAGGTTTTGTGGGAGTGAGGGTCTCAATCATTGCTCTAATTATAATTTTGCTATAACATATTGTTTTTGTTATAATCGAATAGGTCATTGGTTATATTTCAAACAATAAGACTAGGCACAACGAATACATTCAGCGAAAGCAGTAGCAAAAGCCAACGTGGCAGTGGTGGGTCCCGCTAGATTACTTTAATTAAAAAAGAAAAAGTAAAGAAAGAAAGAAAGAAAGAAAGAAGGCAATACGTACAGATGTAATATATATTAAGAAGCAGAGGAGCTCTTGTTCTGCAAAATTCTCTCTCTCTCTCTCTTTCTCGCGTTTCACCATCGTCGAACTAGAGAAGCTCCTGTTTTGGTGTTGTTTCTTTGTTGCTGTTGCTGCTTCTTTGTTGTTGTTTTTTTTTTTTTTGGCTGCTGTCTATTGCTGCTGTTTTTGCTTTTATGTTTCTCTATTCTTCTTTCTTTGGCCTTGGTCTTTTTTTTTTTTATATATTTACAGCAATGGAAATCACAAGGAGACTATTGCTCTGAAAGAGATCAATTTTATATATTTACAGCAATGGAAATCACAAGGAGACTATTGCTCTGAAAGAGATCAATTATTGGTCCAAACTTGCAATTGAATGTAACTTTATGTTTACAGCAATTCACTTTTTCTATGGCATGGATCAATTATATGTTTTTATCCAATTGTTCACAACAATGGAAAACACATTGCAGCGTCTACAAATGAAGACAAAATTAAGTGTGGTTTCCTTTAACAAACAATTTTAAATTGAATAATAAATTATACAAACATGCCTTTTTTTTTTTTTGGATCATCAAAGAAACCTTTTATTAATAAATCAAAAGAGGATACATCAACAAAGGGAAGAGATGGTTGACAAAATATCAACCAAAGAGGACAAGAAAACAGGGAAAATAATAGGGCCAAAGCACAAACAAAATACCAAGGCAACCAACAGTCTTAGCTATCAAGCCAAACTCACAAACACGACACCCTCTAATAAGCAGCAATGGGCAGCAAGAGCCTACTATAGAAGCAATAGCAGCAGCTGCAACATCAATGGGGAACCGACAACAGTCGTAGCCAACAATCAGCAAGAGGCAATAGCAACAGCCAAAAGAAAACAAAAACCTTGGATAGGAGCAGCAGCATAAAAAACAAAATGCTGATACAGATTCTGCAAAAAAATAAAAATAAAAATAAAAAAAAAAAAAAAATTCAAAACTCATTCATAACATAAACATATAAAAATGTACAAATATACATTATATATAATAGCATATTGAATGCCTATTATAATTTTCAAAAACTACTACTCAATTCTTCAAGACCCTAATTTTACAACCCAAATCTTCAAAATCTTCGAAACTCCTAATTTTACATCTCACAACCAAAAAACCAAAAACACAATTGCAAATCAAATTTTTTGACAAAAACTATAGTGGAGTTCAAATCATGACTCCACACCCATATTTAAGTATGATGTTTGGTTACAACTTTTAAAAATTAATTGCACAACACTTTTGAAAACTCGTTTTAGGAGGGATTTGAATTTTGAAATTTGGCTTACCCGGTCGTCCTCCAGGAAGTCCGGCTGGTTGACCGGAACAGTGCAATTTTATTTTATTTTATTTTATTTTTTGGCAATTGACACATGTTATTTTTTATATATTAAATAAAAAATATTTTCTAATCTTTTTTAAAAAAATTATAAGCTTTGAATATAATTTTGGATTGTGTGTTTGGTTATAAGTTGTAAGTTTTTGAATCAAATATCATATGTCACATCAATTATTTCAAACTCAATTCAAAACTCTTTTCAAAACTCTTTTCAAAACTCATAACCAAACAAAATTTTCACACTTAAATCATAATTCCAAAATTCATAAACTCAAAATACAACTCTATTATCAAATTATTATTCTAAAACTCTACCAAACGCAAATCAAAATCAAAATCAATGACCTAAACCTCTAAACACAGAAACCAGAAACACAAACCTTCATAGAAACAAAATCAAAAACACAAATCTAAAATTGAAATCAAAATCTTAACAGAAACTAATAGGTAAGTACATTGATGGCGAGATGATTGAATCAAGAGGGGGTGACGTAAATTGGCGTTTCGATAACCTCTTGTCCAGCAATAGCGAAACGAGAGAGAGAGAGAGGGAGAGAGAGAATTTTGCAGAACAGGAGCTTCTCTGATTCGTAATATATATTACGTCTGTACGTATTGCCTTCTTTCTTTCTTCTCCTTTTTTTTTTTTATAATTAAAGTAACCCAACGGGACCCATCACTACCACGTTGGCTTTCGCTGCTGCTTTCGCTGAATGTATTCATTGTGCCTAGTCTTATTGTATTTCAAATAGTGTTTGATTATGATATATTACAGTTTCTTTAATTGATAATGACGAAAACTCATTTAAACTATGACACAAAATAATACCAAAATTATAAAATAATATAACTTATACAGCAATGATTCAGACTACTTATTTTGGTGCTCTAATGGAGCACTAATGACATGATAATGAATAAAAAAAATAAAATAAAAATAAACCAAGATCAAAACATTACATTACTGTAGATGGAACGCATTACCAACTCATTAAAATTACTTTTAGAGCTCAAAAATTAGAGCTCCTAAATATTTTTTTTAGCTTATATATG